CTTCTTGTTTTTTTTTTTTTTTTTTTTGGTACTGGGGATCGAACTCGAGACCTTGAACTTATGAGGCAGGCGGCGGCATAACTGAGCTAAATTCCCAGCCCAATATTTCCTACTCTTAACCTCCATTGTTGCTAGAATTCATCCTTTGACTTTAGAGAACACAAACTGTTCATATCAGACATCTAACAGGTTGGGAGCTACAATATTATGTTATCTGGAGGGCCTTATATCAACCCTAGATCATTATGGTGACTTAAAGCCTTGGTAACTCTGGCCCAAGAAACAGACCCCACAGGGAGATTCTGGGCCCAAGACATCCAGGCTTCAGTCCAGCAGCCCAGGCCCTGAGCTGAAAGGGACTGGGAAATCCGAATTTTGGGGTGCAACTCTCTAACCACGGATACTGTGGACCTGGGGGTCCTGGACATTCTAGTCCTGTTTCCCTGCTCTACACATATAGGAGGGGCATCCTATGAAGGAAAGCCCAGCTCAGAGGGCAGGTGACCCTGTAGGGGCAGGAATGAAAGGCCATCCTTGTAGGGATGGCTTTAAATTGCAGTTTGGCAATAGAGTACCCAGACCCTGACTGGATGGGGACATTGTCTTGGCTCCTCTCACTCTACATCTCCCCAGGGCCTCACAAGTTTGTAACACACACAGTATCTACACCCACTGATAGGAAACTGAGGTACAGGTGAACAGGTCTTGTTCCTAAGGCCATCACACTAAAAAACAGTAACAAGGTCAAAGTTGCTGGATCTAGTGAAATGCAGAAAACAGTCTCTCCACACCAACTTTCCTTTGCAAACATGGGAGACAATAGGGTCATTACTATCCACCCATTAAATCCATAAAGATTACAAGTGCTACTGGGCGTATTCAATGTATTTGTGACTACAGCAAGTCAAGTAACAAGCATAAATTCAGGTGTGCTTCATTCACTGTCAAATGATTATAGATTGTTTATTCATTGAGATCTCAACATGACACCCTTGTTTCCCATCCCTTGGTGACAGATGAAGACAGAGTGGTGGCAATGGGGTCAACCATGCCTGGCATCCACAGGACACCAGGATGCATATCTGGGCAGTGCAGAATAATCACAACTCAGACAGGGGAACATCTGCCCAGTGACAGACCCTCTCTCTACTCAGTAACAAAATTCAACTCTGGTTTATTAGAATCCAAGACAACATGCCATGCCCAATTCAGCAACAAGACCTCTCATCTGGGGCCATGGGATCTGAGAGGTGGCCTATGGAGGTGGCAGTGACAGTGCAGGCCTGCAGGCTGTCCTGGAAGGAGGATACAGCAGGGGCAGCATCCTAGAAGGGGACCTGGTGCTCCAGGCTTCAGGGTGGTGGCACTGGGAACAGTAAGCCAGGGGCAGGCTGTCCTGGCTGGGATGAAGGCAGATCTGGGAGGCCAAGGGGCCCTGGGCACAGAGTGTTTTCAGGAGGTCAAAGTTGGTACAGCTGCCCTGATGGGAAAAACAGAGAGAGGGGATGGATGAATGCCTGTGGAATTGGGCCAGATGATGCAGGCACCTGGCTGGAGGGTGGTCCTAGATGAGGACCCTGCCCTGGTGCTGCCTTCCAGCCTCCACTAACCCCAGACTCAGCCCAGGCATCTGAAAACAGCCAGGCTGGGGGATGAGCAGTGGCTCTGAAAGGGGTACAGGTCTGCATTCTTGGAGGGGAGGTGGGAGCTAGGCCCAGGCTTTGTGACCAGGGACTGGTCACATAAGCTCTGCAGGTTTCTGCCTCTGGTGGGAACTGGGAGTGTGCACACACCTTTCCCACAGTTGCTGGCATGATTAACTGGGGGCACCAGGACACCCGGAAGTAGCACCGGCCCACAGGAAAGTTTGGTGAGCTCCAGGCCTGAGCATCACAACTCCAAGGAGGACATTCATGACCATGTGGATCCCTCCATGTCCCAGGCGAGGACAGAGATGGAACCTTACAACCTGGTCACCTGACCAGCTTGTGCCCCCAGCATGTTCCCCGACTCAACCCTGAGCCACAGTCCCAGAGGACAGGTGTCAGGGAAGAGCAGTGTCCATTGTGCCCACCAGGAGGGCCCCCAATGTTCTTACCTGGTCACTGAGCTGAGACCATATCAGTGGCACCTGGTGGCAGCTGGGGTGACTGAAGTTACACAAAATCATGGTGCCCTACAAAGCAGATTGGGTGTTATGGTTTCTGTCTAGGTGTCCCCCATAAGCCTCATGCGGTCATAGAGGTGGGTCTATTTTAGAGGTGGCTGGATTTAGAGTGTGTGATCCTGGGATTAAGGGTGTGTACTTACTAAATCAGTCAACTTGGTTTAGTGTACATCTGGGTGTGAATGCTACCTGCCCTAAGGGTTTACAGCCTGGGTGGACTATAAGGGACAGAAAGAAGGTCCTTGCTTGTCATTTGTTGCTCACTGTTTCTGCTGACTTCTGCCCACCATGAACTATTTCCCCTCTGTGACGCCTCTTGGCCATGCCACTCTGCCTTGGAGCCAGCTGACTATGGACTGAAATTTCTACAAACTGTGAACTTAATAAACCTTTGGGGTGTGGGATACTTTGTCTCAGCAATAAGAAAAGTAACTATGACATGGGGCCAAAAGAAAGGGCATAGTCAAGACTGGGTCTGCAACAGGGTCAGGACCAGAACTCCTAACAGCTCTGTCCCCAGGGCCATGCTGAGACCCTATTCCAGGTGTCCTGAGGAGGCTGGCACTCTTGGGTATCTGAGAGGTCAGAATGTTTGTGCCACAAGTTAGCCAGCCACAGGTGTTGGAGGTAAGAGGTAGGAGGCATGTGAGAGCGAAACAGAGTATCAAGAGCCCCCAAACAGGGTGGGGTTGCATGTGGGCACAGAGAGGACAGGGAGATCCACGTTGTGCTTAGGGGAAGGTGGCTTGAAACCAGGGCAGAGGAGAGGAAGAGAGAGAGGGGACAGGAGGAGTCCGGCCTGGGGTGGGGTGCTCTGGCTACATGACAAAGTGTCGGCCCTGGGTCCTCTGAGTGGGTAGGGATGGCCCTGTGGCTAGAACTGGCCACTGGTAGTGGTGTCCTTCCTCTTTACAAGAGAGATATTGGCTTCTCATTTTCCCTAGTGAGGCGAGTAGAGGGCTGGCTTCTTAGCATTGCTGTGGGGAAACAGAGGCAGGAAGCTCGCAGGAAGAAGCCACAGATCCTGGGGCTGGAACAGGCTGGGATGGGGTGGGAGGGTGAGCGGTGCTGTTCTGCCTGACACCACAGCATCCCCACACAGTCCACACAGCCACGTTCCCTCCCAGGTCTCCTGAGCTCCTGTTCCCTAGAGTGCTGGTCTCTCACCTCCGGGCTTCTGTTCACACACACGCCACGGCACGCACAGCAGCACACGATAATGGTGGGGCACACGGTGATAGGTGGCAGGGCTGGTGCTGGGGCAGGTGGTGGAGGAGGAGGAGGAAGTGGAGAAGCCAGAGGAGCAGGTTTCTTGACTCTCGGCCTCTACAGGAGAAATTTACCGGTCCACATCCCTGTATGCAGCCCCTGGGGAGCAGGTACCTGTATGTAGGGTCAGCTAAAGCTTTGGTGTGACATAAATGACAGTGAGAATCACTCACAGTGAGGTGAGGGCCCTGTGTGGATGAACAGCCAAACTCCTCTGGTCCAAATGCTGCTTCTGCCCCAATTGCCCATAGCCCCATGGTGGAACCTTGGTCTCCTGAGGTTGCCCTGGCTGGCAGAAGCCTGACAGAGTGCTGTGCAGGGATCAGGGCATTGGATGACAGGTGGCTGTCCTCTTCCTGTGGCTCTGGCTTTGCAAATGCCACATTCCCAGGCCACAGTGCATCTAGTACAGGTCTCAGGCACCCTGTTTCCTGGCACCTTCAGCCAGATTCCCTGGGCCTTGCCGCTGAGCCCTTCTGGTCCCACTCAGCTGAGCCCCAGGCTGCCCCTGCCCCATCCCTGTGCTCCCCTGAGGACAGCCTCACAGCTCAGCCCCCAGATGACCTCCTCCCTCAGTCCTGTATCCCCAAGGCTATTACCAGCCCAGGCCTGGCCCTGTAGGAGACAAAGATGAAGACAATCCAAAGGAGCCCAGGACAGCCAGGGTGAACACAAGGCCAGCTCTCCCTTCCCAAAGCCCTGAGCACTTGGATCCCAGACACCTTTGGGCCACATAATCCATCAGGACAGTAAGGATAGCTACTGCTGAAGCAGGTTCCCAAGATCTCTGTCAGGTGCTGGGCCTAGCGGGTGCTGTCTGGTGACATCACTGAATCTTCTGTCCCTCTCTCCTTGACCCTCTGTCCCCTGTCCTGCTCCCAGTTGGTTGGAGGATTTGGGCACAGGATTCCTGGTGCCTCATTTGATGGTAGCTGTCCCCCAGGGGGCTGTGGCAACATCAGGACAAAGCAAGACTCACCTTTTTGGGCCTGGGTCTGGGTGGTGGCTCTTTCTCAGGCTAAAACCGAAAGAGAAACAAGCAGACATTCTTGTGAGGTAGCCTGCCCTGGTCCAGGATCCCCAGGCAGCCTCAGCCATGGGATCCTCCTTGGGTTGGGGTCTGCACCTGCTGGGCTCTGCTGGCTCAGGGCAGATGGGCAATGGCCCACAGGCTGGAACAGGGGACCCTCCCATGTCCAGAGTGACTCACCCTTCTGCAGCACAACCACCAGACCCAGCAGAGCACCAGGATGATCATCAGCAGCCCCATCACCGCACTGATCCCCAGAAGTGTTTTGCTTGGCATTGTTTGTGGTGGCCTTGTGCCCAGGGCTGGAGTGGTCTGGGCAACAGTGATGACCGCGGGTAGAGGAATGACTGGGGCTGGATCTGTGGGCTGGGGTGGAGCCGAGCTTGTGGGGCTTGTGGGGCTTGTGGGCTGCGGGGTTGTCGGGGTGGTTTTTAACGGTGTTGTCGTTGTCGTTGTCGTTGTCGTCGGTGTCGGTGTCCTTGTAGTCGTCGTTGTTGTCGCCATCGTTGTTGTGGTTGTTGTTGTTGTTGGAGGTGGACGAGTCCTCGGGCGCTTAGTAGTGGTTATGGGGGCCCGATTCTGTAGGAGAAATAGATGGTCATTACCATGGCCAGCATGCACCACAAATTGCACATGGCAGGGGACACCTGGAGCACCCTGCTCATGGCGACCCATGTACTCATCTTTGTCGACACGGCTTGGGCCAATTTTAGGGATCCCACTGTAGTGAGGGGCTGGCCCGGGTCCCCAGGCTGCAGGCAGTGCCACTGCCTGCTCAGGGCTTATACTCAGCCTGGACAAGGAGGCCCAGAAGCCCCTGTGTGACTCCAACCTCACAGCTCACTTTGGGGCCAGCACAGCCTGTCCTGAAGACACAGAGAGCTACAGGTGCCATACTGGGGAGGTCAGATTGCTGGGGACCCTGGGCAGGACAGGAGATCTGGGTCCCTCCAGGCCTCGCTGCCCATTCCCCAGCTCTGCATCCATGGCTCACTTTGAATCTCAGTGAGCCCCTGTGCACAGGGGTGGGAGCCCCCTCCCACCCAGGGAATTGGCTCAGAAGGCTTAGGATGTCGCCTCCTGCCTGTGAGTAAAGGGACAGAGCTGTCCCTGGTTGTCACTCACAGTGAGGGCAAACAGGTTGCCTGCCCAGCCTCCCCTGACTTATGCTCTGTCTCAGAGGAGGGCACCAGGGTTACTGGTGCTTCTGTGTGCTGTGGACCCTGTCCACTGAAATCAGTTCTCACTGTCTGCACAGCTGCTCTCTGGCCTATGTGGGACCCCCTGCCTTGGTCTCCCCAGGTGCATGTGGGCCCAGAGTGGGGCTCTGCACATCACAGTGTACAGCCCCAGGTTACTCACACAGTCGGCAGTGGCCTCCACCCTGATGCTGCGGGCAAGGAAGTCCCTCCCATTATTCAGGCTGACTTCCACTGTGATGTTCCTAATGCACAGGAGGGACAGACAAGGTACCTATGGAGACCAGGACCTCAAGCTCTGCTCAGGACAGTGACTCTGAATGTTACATATTTGGGGTGACCAGAGGGAATTCACATGGGTCATGAGAGCTGGTTCCCCAAGTCACTGCGAGGTCAGACTCAGCAAGGGGTGCAGCTCAGGCCGTGAGCAGCCCTCATGGTGGATGGTGCCATCCTGGCCATGGCTCAGGCTCACAGCTCTATCACATGCTGTGTGATCCCAGCCTGGAAAGGTGACCCAGAGGAAAGGCAGCCATGCCCGGCCCAGCTTCTCCTGCATCTGCCCTCAGCAGTGCCTGGGCCACTGTGTGGCCCTGGGCACCTTGAAGGTCACCCACAAGGGCAGGTGGGGGGCACCTCAGCCCAGAGCAGGCCAACCTGTGCTGCCTGGCACAGGAACACCCACATTCAGGACAGGAGATGGTGGCAAACAGAAGCCACACGATCCCCACCCCTAGAACTGAGAACCATGGTGACTTACTGTCCAGGTTGCACTGCTTGTGGTGTGGGACAAGTTATGGTGGTCATGTTCATCCTGATTGGATGTTCATCTAAAAGAAAAGGAAACAAATGGATGTTACTACATAAGTCGCCTGCCCTGCTACCATTGTCCTTTGGGAAGCAGGGGTGCCAGCTTGGACTAATAGCAGGGGAAGGGTATTTTCATTTTAAGGTCCTGATACATTCGTGTGCTGTGAGCCATGTCCACTAACGTAAGTCCTTCCTGAGCATCTGATGTTTGAGATCAGAGTAACCAGACAAGCCACAGCCACGGAATGTTGGGAGTAAAGTGTGTCCTAAGATGTGGGACTGTCACATGCTAAGTCTCTGAGGCAGGAAATTTGGAGATTACTGAGGAGGGAAGGATGGGAGCCCAGAAGTGGGCGCTGATTGGAGAAGAGGGTTTTGCTTCTGGTGCAGTGAATCTTTGTGGGTGCACAGAACCTGGACACCATGTGGACAGCAGTGTTGTGGGCTGCTGGGGGGACTAGCTAGGGGACTGCCTGGGGGACTGGGTGTGAGGTGGGATGAGATGACCAAGGGTGCCACCAGGATTTGACCTTAGGGCTCAGGTGGGGCCATCACTGAGCTGTGAAAGGAATGGGGATGTTTGGCAATTTCTCTGTTTCTGTCCCTCCCTTCCTTCTTTCCTCCTATCCATCCTCTCCTCAACTTTCTGTGTTTCTGTAAGAGCTTGGAATCTCAGAAGAGTTCCCTAATATGCAGGAATGGAACCTTCCCTATACCTCCTAATCCCTAGTCCTGGGCAAGAACTGAGCCACATCCTCGCACCTGGCAGGCAGCCCTCTGCCCCAGGCTCCAGCTTCCCAGGTCCCCGGTGCCCCCTCTGCTGGCTCAAATGATAGAGTCAGAAGGAGCCTGGGTCCTGCCATTTGTGCTTCTGGGAGGCCAGTCCTGCCCTGCATTGCCTCCTGATGCTGGCTTCCCCAGGCACAGGTGGGGACAGACAAGGTCCCTCCTGACCTCAGCTGAAGGGTGGAGCAGCCAGCAGGAAGGATGCTCTGTCAGCTTTATAGGTCCTTGCCCAGCACAGAGCCACATTCTGAGAACACTGAAAGGACAGGGCTCCTGGGTAGCGGGACTAGGTTTAGAGCTCTATTTTAACTTTTATAAAAACAGGCTTGTTGTCTGTTGAGAAATAGCCTGTGGCTTTACAGGGCTGGTGGGTGGGGTCCGCACTGCACGATGCACTGTCGACCACACTGATCAAACCCAGCACAGGAAACTGCGGTCCCATCCCTGAGTGCTCAGGGTTGCTGTTCCTCCCCACACCTGGCCCCTGCTGGACACTGAAGTGTCATGAAGAAGCATTTGCGTGCTGCCTAGAATGTGCACATCCCACTGTGTGGCTTCAAAAAAAAAATCATGCTCATGGGAAATTAAACTTTTTATGGTGTATTTGAGAATGCTAACAACACTTCACTTTATGGTTTAGGGATATTATCTGCATTCTTTTCTTCTATTTTAATTTTATATTATCATCATTTTTATTAGAAAATTTTATGCTAAATGGTAAAATAAACATAAACATATGTAACTTAAGATAGAAAATTAGGAATTATTTTGTATATAGTATTTTTCATTCTTTTCTACATTTGGCCACAAAATGATTTAGTGCCATCTGGCCCTGTGTCATTGGTCATATTACCCGTGACTTGCTGAAGCATTTTATGTCTTTTCTGCTGCTGATCATGAGAATAGTTGGAGGACACTTGGCCAGGGGGTGGGACGCTTGTTTTTCACTGTGGAAAGATGTCCTCACCACACTGACACTGACCGAGGAAGGAGAGGTATTGTGGGGCAGGCTACCCTGCCCACTGAAGCCTGGTCCCCCAGTCTGGGTTAGCAGAGGATCCAGCACAGCCTGGCTGAAGGGAGAGGAATTTTCCAGCCTTGAATGGATTGCACTGAATACTTTGGTTGCCATAGTAAAGAATCTCATCTAAAGTCACAAGCGCCTGACACTGTAAGCACTGTAAGTCCTGCTACCTGTCCTACCAGCTGGACCTGACTCCAGTCTTAGGCTCTCAGAGAAGGGTGCTGAGGATGGGATGGGACAGATGCTGCTGTGAGACAGCACCCACCACACCAGCCTGCTAAGGGGAGGCCTACTCTGACCCACTTGGAGAGGGATGGACACTTATTACCTCCCTGCTTTGCAGATGAACAGAGGCGGCCACACCCCAGTCAGGCCCCTCTTTACCTGTCCACACTCACTGGCTGGAACCCTGCGACATTCTCCAGGAAGAGTAAGCAAGGTCTGGGGACTCGGGTGATGGACAGGAGGGTGCACCTATATCTGATGGTAGTGGCTCAGAAAACAGAGGGGCTCCTTACCGATAGCAACATTGTTACTGAACTTGAATCTGCAAATGACCTGGTTCCTGCTCCTTGCATTATGGAAGCCGTAGCCTTTCAGAACCACCTGCTTGGCTGCTGTAAGGACACATTCAAAGGTGTGAGTGAGGGAGCTGTACTCTGTGGCTGCTCTCAGACTACTGTTCACCATGATCACCTCTAGGGCCAATCCCAGGGACCCCAAGAGGCGGCAGCTGCATCTGAATATCTCTATGACCCCCAGGCCAAATTCCCATCTGCTGTCACCAAGGCTCCATGTGAATGCAGCAGACTAACCTTGCACACGTGGGAGCCCTCCTCCCACCAGCCCCAACCACAGCACCATGACAGACACCTGATTTCCAGGAACGACTTCAGTTGAGGCCTCCCACCCCGAATTCCCATGGTTCCCACTGGAGACCCCAAGAGCAGGGCCAGGATGGGATCACTGGAGGCCTCTGCCCCACCAGGAGGGGGACTCATGGGGGTTGACACCTTCCACACCCCAGTCTCCTGACCCACAAGGAACACAGCCCACCACCCTGTGGACCCACAAGCCCCTCACTCCACCAGCTTTGTCCTCCCTTCCCCTCAGGCCAAGCCACAGGGAACAAGAGAGAGTGGCTGGGTGGCCCTGCAGTACCCGGGCTGGGTTCCTGTAGGTCTTCTGGTTGCAATTCCCAGCTCCTTGGCCTGACAGCAGCCTCCTGGCCCAGTCTGTCTCCTTTCTCTCTCCATGGTCCTGGAGTGGCCTCAGGTCAGCCACCCAGGGACCCCAGGCTGCAGGAGCTTCTCCCTCAGCCCCTGCACATGGACTGGCTCTCCATGCCAGCCTGAGTACCTGGCCCATTCTGTGTCACCTGGGGCCCAGGCTCCTGTCTCAGCCCCACCCCCACCCCGAGTCCCTGTCACTCTGTGTAGCAGCTCTGCACACGATGCCCAACAGTGTAGCAGGTCAGCAGCAGAGCTGGTGTCTGGAGGCACCTGTCACCTCAGCTCTGCAGCTGGGAGGAAGCAGTGACAGCTCCTGCCTGGGTCTGTCTGGCTGTCTAGACATCAGGGCCTGTGTGTCAGGGACACATTAGGGACATGCAGGATGTGCAACTGCACAGCTGAGCTGAGCAGGACAGACCCCGGGGTGTGGTCCCCAACCCATCTCCAACTAGCACTACAGCCCCTACTCTTCCCAGCATCAGAGGGGTTCGGGGTGCAGAGCCAAGGCCCAGGGTGAAGAGGTCAGGACCAGGTGCCATCCTCAGCTCCTACTATGCCATCACTGTCCCTCCATCCCCCAATGTCACCACAGTGCTATTCCTATCCATTGTAGGCCACACTGCAGCACAAGAGTTTGGCTCCCTATCCCCTCTTCTGGACCATGGGTGGCAGAGCTCAGACATGAGCACAGTTCTATCCATGGCTTGCAGCCATGGCACCTCCCACAAGGGACATGGAGGCTAGGACTCAGCAGCTGCAGCAGCCAAGATGTCACCCATGGGAGGAGGAGCCTGACACTCCTTTTCCCCTCTACCTGGGTGTCAGAAGCCAGCCACGTGGGAACCATGGATGCACACACATTGCCTGTGACAAAGAGAAGTGGCCTCCCCACTGGACCACTTAGGAACATCCTGAGTGCACCGAGGCAGGGACATGGGCTGGACTGGGGGCATCCTTGTCACTTCCAGCCCTGAGGACAGGCTTTGCCATTTCCCTACAGGGGTAGGGTGAAACAAATGGCTATGGAAACATCCACCCTGTGGATGCTGGGTCAGGCATGGAGGTTGACTTTGTCTTGTTCAGTGCTGGGCACTGAATTTGTGCAACTTGTATCTCATCTCCAGGATATCCTATTATGTCTATGCAAAATTCTAAAACCTCAAAGACTCCAAAGCCATTTATATAGATCCAAACCCAAAAGCATTTATACAGATCCAAAGGGGAGAAGTTTCAAACTATGGTCATCTGGCTCCAAGGCGGAAATGTCATGGCAGAGGGCGTGGTGAAGGAAAGTTGCTATAGTCACAGCAAAGAGAAAGCAGGACAGGTTTGAAAGAGTGAAGGAAGAAGCGGGCAAGAACCAAGGACCAAGGTCATGACTCCATGTTGGACCTACTCCAAGCAGGCTTTATCTACTGACATCCCTCTCAGCTATGAATTCATCACTGTGCTAAGCCACTGTGACACTGGCACTTTCACAATTCACGATCTCTCACTAGTTTCTTAATCTAGCCTGGTTAACAATCAAGATTAACCTGCACAAACACCTACCTTGTCAAACTGATGCCTAATTACATCTTCTTAAAACATACTTAATCTCAACAAAATACAATAACCAGGCCATGATTCTGCCTGGCGTGATGTAACAATGCTACATACAATTATAAATGCACTAATTCCTTCCCCCAAATCTCAAAAGTTTTCACATTACTCGAAAGTCCAAAATCTCCCATGAGGCCCAGCAGAAATATTCTTAGCTGTGAATCCCTGTAACAATAAAAAATAAATCACATAATCCCATGGTACAATGATGGAAGGTAAACAATGGAAAGAATGGGGGATAGAAACAAATCAGACCACAGTGAGAAAAATCCACAGCAGTGCACATTAAGTGCAGTATCTCCATGTCTGATCTTGAGGTACTTGGTGGCGTGATGTGAGCTCCAAAGGGCATTGATAGCCCCATTCCAATAGCCTCGTTGGTTACAGTATACATGGCCTCTCTCTTGGGCTGGCTGTGTGCTGCCTGCAGCTCTCCTCAGCAGAAATTCCATATTTCCAACTTCCTGGGACCTCCACTGTAGCTTTGACTCCACTCGCACAACTTCATGCATTATACTGTCAGGGCCTAGCCAGGGGCTAGAGTCCTATGACATATTACTGGGTCTCCAGGGCCTTCTTTGAAATCTGAGTGGAAACCTCTGTGACCTCGTGACTCTTGCAGTTTGCATACCTGCAAAGCCAGCATCATGTGGATGGTGCTAAAGTCTGCTGCTAATAAGTGGAGTTGTGTCCACCTGGACCATGGCTGCAGTGGTATTTGCATGCCTGATTGACCGAGAATGAGGAAATGAGTCCTGAAGAACAAATTCAACTGGGGCCTTTCTCTCCAGGTGTCCCTGGAGCTCTCTCTGCAAATGAAATATTTACACTGTGATACTTTAGGGTTGGGGTCTTGATAATTTCTGAGATAACTTCAAGGCATCTTCCCTTTAAGATGTTTCAGTAAAAACTTTGGTTTCTTTCTAATGGTGCTAATCTCTTCAGCAATCACCCTCCTTTGGCTCCAACTTTACATATGATTCTTTTCTGGCCAAATAAAAGTTTTAGAAATCTTTCTTCTCTGCTTTTTTGCTCCTGATTATCACGGTAAGTCTTGCTAAAATTTGCCAGGAGTGCCCATGCCACAGCCTGAACTTCCGGCTGCTTCTAAATTTCTTCCATCAATCAATTGTTTCATTGCCTTTAAAGGTGGCATCACAAAGTTTTAGTGCATGGACAAAATATAGGCATATTTTTTGCCAGTTTTAAAATGCACATTTCCAGTGCAATCCTCATTCCCATCTGAAACCTCATGAGCAGTCTTTACTATCTATTCCTATCACCATTCTAATCCTCTGAGTTTCCACCAGAATCATCCATAACCTCTGCTTACAGCATTTGAGGGCTTATGTAGCCCACATCACTAAGCCTTTCAAAAATCCCCCTGCAAACCAGTCTTAAAGGCTTCTGAATATCCAGATCAGGTTTAGTCACAGCAATAATTCCATTCCTGGTACCAATTTTCTGTATTAGTCAACTTACTGTCACTGGGACAAAATAGTTGACATCACAACTCAAACAAGGAAAGGTTTCTTTTGGCTTATGATTTCAGAGGGTTCAGTCCACTGATACTGTTTCCAAAGCAGAGACACCATAGGGGAAGGATATAGTGGAAGAAAGCTCAACTTACGGCAGCAAGGAAGCACAGCAGATTGGAAAGAGCCAGAGAGGAAGGGGCTGGGGACCAGTTAATAGCACCGAAGGTCATTCCCCAGGACTCACTTCTTTAATCTATTTGTTCCCTTAAAACTATTTGTCTATGAGCTCATTAGTGGGTTACACTGTTGGTGAGGTTGTGCTGTCACAATCAAGTTACCTCTCCAGTCAAGATTAACTGAAACACCTTCTAAAAGTAAGCACTAAGGAAAGGCATACTCCATATGTTTTGACTTTTTTATCTGTTGCTGAATTCTAGGGTTTTCTTCAGAATTTTTACATAATATGTATTTTTTGCCAGGAGTGGTGGCACACACCTATAATCCCAGCACTTGGAAGGATGAGGCAGGAGGATTGCTGTGAGTTTGAGTCGAGCCTGGGCTACATAGTGAGTTCCAGGTCAGTCTCAACTACACAGAGAGAAAAATATAAAAACAAAACAAAAAATACTATGTATTTTTTCTAATTTTACAATTAAAATTTTGTTGTGAGATAGAATAATTAATTATACAGATACCTGCAGTCAGGTATCCCTGTGTATTGAATACACAGTATATGTTTGTGTATATATATGTACACCCACCTCCACACTCCATCAAAACATCCCATATATTCCAAATACACACATCACAAATCACAGAGCACAACCTGCTTTGCCTACTCCACATGCCATTGTCCCCTCATGCCAAATGTAAACACATCACACAGCACATTTCCCAAAGATACACATAGCCTGTACCACAGACATATATACCATACCCGTTATACATGCCATACTGAAAAACACATATATATCCTGTCTTAGTTACTTTCTTGTTGCTGGAACAAAGTATCAGACATCCATAAGTTATAGGAGGAAAGGTTAATGTTAGCTCACAGTTTGTAAGGTTTCGGTCCATAGTTGGCCAGCTCCAAGGCAGGGTGGCATGGCAGAGAGGAACGGCAGAGGAGAAAGAGCTCACAGCATCTCAAGCAGGAAGCAGCAAGCCTTCCTTCTTTGCCTTTTTATTTCATCAGGTTGCAAGACTATTGGTTGGTGCCACCCATACCCAGGAAGGGAGTTCCTTCTCCAATAAATCCATCACTCATACCTAGAACTATGCTAAAACAATCAGTGGACTAATCCAGTATCACATATCCATGATCCAGTAACTCCCCAAAGCCCCTTATGAGTGCATGAAGCTTTGGGGGGCCATGTAGACACACAACTAACATATCTCCACAAATCCACATACCACTCATATCATACAACATCACAACACACCCTGCCCCACAGTCACCAAAGACACACCACAAACACATCACACCCAAAACTTACTGCTAACACACACCATATAAATACACAAACACCCATCATACAACACATAGTGTACACACTTTCCAAACACACAATGCGCACAACACTGCACTACCAATACATATATGATATACACCATCCATCTATCATATTCCTAATATACACCATATACACTTACAAATATACAAACCATATACCACTACCACACACAACATGTGTCTTTTACATGTCTACACATAGTTCATATACCAAGAACAAACAACACATACCAAAATTAAAACACCATCACACTCATCAGAAACATACCACAAAACACACACACTCAACATAAAATACACACATAAATCAAACATCACACATCCATCACACATACCCACATGAAGCAGGGACACAGAGAACATAGCCACACATCACAGACATAGCCCAGTACTCACACCATATATTACACATCACATATACTACACGTCCCACAGACCACACACACCACACAGTACTTGTGCACCTGTACCCCTCTGCCCATAGCTGTCACCCCTCAGCTCTCACCTGGACACAGGGGGGAAGGCTCCACATATCTGAGTTCGAGACAGGCCCTTGTTCCAATCTGAGATGGAGAGCAGAAGAAGCGGCAGGAATGTGAGCCTCAGGACCTGGAGAGAAGCTGCTGCTGCCCCTGCTCACACCCTGCCCACTTACGCACATAGTCAACTCTTCCATGCAGGTTCCTGAGTGCCCCATGTATGCCAAACACGTGTTCTGGGCTGTCTGCAATTGCTTTCAACTATGAGAGAGAGAGAGAGAGCAGCTGGCTTGGCCCCTAAGGCAGGGGGACTCCTGGATGCACCAGGGCCCCAGAGCCATGCCCTCTGGCCTTGGGGATGCCTGTACACAGCCCAGCTCAGGACATGGGAAGTTCTGCACCACTCAGTGGGGTGCGGTACTGAGACCTATTGGTCATCCTTCTGCTGGCCCACATGCTGCCTACATTTCCTGGAGCCCTGAGGAGCTGCTTTGAGATCTGTCCCCAGTGGGGCTGCCGAGGGCCCATCACCTGGTCCAAAGTACCTGGAATGTGCTATAGTTGTCGACACCAATGAGGTAAATGTATGCTCCCATAGTCCGAGCTGTACGAGCCTGAGGGAAAGAACTGGGTGAGCCTAAGGCACACAGTGGAACAGAGGATGCTGAGGACAAGCCCACTCACCTCAATCATAGTCTCATTGAATACGTCTAGCCTCAGTGGTCCACTAACCACAGCGATGATCATGCTAGATACCCTTTTGGCTGTCAAGAAGCAAGAGGGGTGTTGTGCAAGGTCCAGGAGTGGCCAGAAGGTGACCCAGGACCACCACAGACTTCCAGGCCCCAGCACTGCCCACGGAAGACTGGTGGATCCTCAACCCCAGACCCCAGCACCCACCACCCAGAGACCCCAGAGTGAGAAGGGGGCCTTGCCCAGAGCCATTTCACAGATAAGGAGAGAGGGATTCAGGATCCTCCCTGCCAGTGGCCTGAGCCCTTGCTGTGCCCCAGGCTGCACACCTTCTGCCCCGAGGACAACACAGCCAGGTGTCCACCAGCCCCAGTCCATCCCAAGGAGCAGGAAACAGCAGCCCTTCTTGCAGAGCAGCCCAGGGAGGGGTGATGCCATGCCTACATGTCCTGGGTACAGTCTGCAGGCTTCTGCTTAGGACAGTGGCTCAGCTCCTGAGGACTCCCAGGCAGGGTCTTGGACAGAGGACCCTATTTTTCCCCAGAGCCGTCCTCACTGAGCCCCACCACTTTTTACCAGATCTACCAGCCCACAGTGCAGAGGGACAACTGTCCTGGGCCACACAGCCATTTGCATGGTGGGAAATGCAAGTCCGAGAGCAAATGGGCCATGGAAGACAGGGATGGAGGGGAGGAAGGTCTGGCTCTGCGGACAGAGTGGGCTCTTCAGGCTGGTCCTCAGGCTGCTTGGGATCTGGGCTTTCTCCTTCTGAACACAGAATCCAGTGCAGGTCCAGAAGCTCAGAGTGACCAAGTGCCCTGAGTGGACCTGCAGGGCCTCCTGTTCTGTGAGAACTGTATTGGGGTGCGCACTCTGCCCACTGAGCAGGGCTGGAATGGGATGGGGAGCAATGGACTCCCAGAACTGAGCTGGGGAGTCATAGAGTCTGCACACAGAGCTCCCGGGAAGGCAACCCACTCCACGCAGGTGCCTGAGGAGGAAGGCAGGGGCTCACCTCCAGAGTTGGCTCTTGCAATTTGCTCATTTGCCTGCAAGGAAAAGAAGGAGAAAACAGTAGATTGGAATAGTGCTCTAAGGCGAAGGCCAGCAAGGACTCCAGGCAGTGGGCTCCCCACCTGTCTGAATGCCTTCTGCAGGTAGATTTCCCCACTAGTGGGAATGTTCTCCAAAGCTACAAGACGATGGTAAATCGCTGTTCTAAAAAATTCATGACAAAAATGGAGATGAGGAAACTGGACAGAAAGAAATAGCTCCCAAGCTGTCCTATAGCCCGGTCAACAGTGAGGATGCTGTGGACAGGGGTAGATGTGAGCAACTGTCTCTGTCAACCCAGTTCTGTGCTGGGTCATTGCCAGGCTTGTATTCTTTTCTGTTCCAGACCTCTTAGCCCTCTGGGTGGTGGGGAGGCTGAGAGCAGGTCTCATGGGAACCTGACTTTCTCTGAGCTCATCCTGTCTCAAGCACCCCACCCTCAGGGAACAGCCCCCCCTCCCAGGGTGCTGCAGCAAGGGTGGGATGGGACCCAGGGCCATGCAGCTTGAATCTGAGGCTCCAGTGGGACCCACATGCCTGATTGCTAACTGGAAGCTGAGACGCCTACCTGAGGCTCTGTCCTCCACCAGGGAAGGCTGGATCACACAGGTGACCAGCTCAGCCTGCCCTGTGCTGTCCCCACTGCATCCCAGGGTGCTGCAGCAAGGGTGGGATGGGACCCAGGGCCATGCAGCTTGAATCTGAGGCTCCAGTGGGACCCACATGCCTGATTGCTAACTGGAAGCTGAGATGCCTACCTGAGGCTCTGTCCTCCACCAGGGAAGGCTGGATCACACAGGTGACCAGCTCAGCCTGCCCTGTGCTGTCCCCACTGCACAGACCCTGATCTGCCCCTCCTTAGAATCCAAAGGAAGGAACCAGGCTGCTTCATGAGCAGCACAGGCCTAGGACCTTATTCCCCTGACACCAAAGGCCTGAGGTGGGGACGTGGCCACAGGCTGCTGAGGCAGCGAGCCCTGTGCCCAGGCTAACAGGACAGGGCTGTCAGGGGCTGTTAGAGAGACAGGACTGATTGGGACAGGCAGCACCAGCTCTGGTGGCAGCACTGGGACTGGAAGGGGTAGCTGGGCTCAGGCTGATTAGCTGTGGCAGGGCTGAGCCTGCATAGCAAGGCCACCCAGAGAGAAGCCCCTGAGGATGGCTGCTGTGGGCCAAGCTCTGGTCCTCTCTAGGTGATGACAACAGACAGCCAGGTCCTGCCCAAGCCAGCCCCCACCCTTGCCTCTCCAGGTGCTGGCTTCTCCTGCTCCCTTCTCTGTCCCAGGATTTATCCCAGGCTCTTGACAGCAGTTTCCATTCCCCCAGACATCACTTCCCCTCTCCTCTCTGCTTCACTTTCTCTGTCAGGTCCCAGGTATTGCATTAAAGGGGTAAGTCCCTCACCACCTAGCCCATCAACAGCTCCCCAGCACTTCGTTCTCAGCCTGTGTGTACATGTGAGCCACCTTCCCCATAGCACTCCTTGTGGCACCCACAGGAGCCCAGGACACAGGGCACCTTGGGGCTGCACTGCCTGGGACCCACCAGAGGACCCTGCTGCCCAGCACAAACCCCCAGCTCTTCCCCTGGGGCCCACCTCCTGGGACCCACCAGCACCTACCTATTTGAGGTGAGCATCAATTCAATTCTTGACCTTGTGTTAAACACGATGAAGGACATGCGCAAGTTGGGGCTAGGGTGGTGGGGAGCACAGTGGTGAGAAGCCAATGCACTTGATGCCAGGATGCAGCCCCAGAGGAAGCATGAGCTCTGCTGCTCACAGCTCGCTCTGCACCCACGGCCATTTCAGACGTGGGTCAGGGGACCCAGGGACCCAGGGAGAGTCAGGGGGAGCTCACGACCATGCCTCTGGGCCAGCATCCCCACGCACACTTGCATTCACTCAATCACACACTAATTTACACATTCTAAAACGCACTAATGCAGAGATTCGCATACACTCAACACTCACACACAGAAACGTTACATACATATTCACAGCACTCAAAGTCATACTTTCACATTACCACTCACACTCACATGCATGTAGACTGATACATTCACAGACACACATACTCATACATATATACATACACTCATACATAGGCACACTCATATTCTTAAGGTGGTAATCACACACACACACACACACACACACTCATACACACACAAAAGGAATCAGACCCTCTGCATTCCTCATGGGGCCTCCCTCCCGCCTGGCCTGTCTTCTACAGTCCCTTCCTTCAATCCTCACCCCATCCCTCTTTCCCTCCATTTCCTCCTCCCTCCTTCCAGCTCAGGAAATCCCACTCTCCCTGGGAACCATTCACAACACCTCCCTTTCCTGTCGCTGACCACTGCCCTCAGCCCAGGACTTCTGACCCTCAACAAAGTGGCTGCAGCCTTTCTGGCCGAGCTGCCAGCTGCTCCTGCTCTTGTTCCCAGCTCTGTTCACCAACAGGTGCCAGGTTTTCTTCTTTTTTTCCTGGAGCACCACATCACTCCCCTGCCTGTGATCCTTCCGTGGCTCCTTGTAGCTCACAGGAAGAATTCAACCACTCCTTGGCCTGGCACAGTAAATTCTTGTGACATCGGCTACAGAGTTGCTGCTCTGCCTGTCCTGACTTCCTTCCTAGCCTGGGGGTCTGGAGGGCAGACGGTGTCCCTGCAGGTGCCCAGGCTCCCAGGCAGGTCAGGCACACTGCTGAGACCCAGGAGACCAGTGCACTCTGTCCACTTTCCTGCCTTGTCAGACTGGGATCTGTGCCCCCACCCGAAGGACCCCACCAAGTCTACTGGATGTTCAGGCAGCCTGCAGCATCAAGAAGCATACTTTACATATTTCTCCACCAAATCTTCCCAACTTGAGGACAGGCTAGGCCAGTTCGACACGCTATTTGATCTGAAATGAAGACACAGGAGTTAGGGGATGAGATACCCTGTCAAGGAACACACGGCCCCTGTCTTTGCCACTTCTCTGCAGGATCCTTAACACTGGCTCCCACCCCAATTCCTGTGACCATAGCAGGACAGGGCATCCTGGAGAGGAGTGTCATCAGGGCCACCAGTGGGCAGAGGCTGGCCAATCAAACCCTTTGCTGGGGCCTCTCAGCACAAGGGATGCTTGATGGCTGACCAGTGTGGCTTGTCACACAAGGTGACAGCTGTGGCACAAATTGGAAGAAGTCTCTGGTCGTCTCTGATTTGTGGGTTCTCTGCCATCACTTGCCCTTGGTATGACTTTCCCAGCTCCCTGTGGGTGGGGATCTTGGCACCATGGCCATCAGAACCCTTTGAGAGCCATCCCATCACCAGGTCCAGAGGTGACCAGATGTGTTTTGTGGTTTCCCTGCTGGACTCCTGGGTTCCAGGTGTCAGACCTATCCTTGGAATGGGAACCTTTTGCAGACTGTGTCTGCCTTGCATACCTTCTCTTCACACCCCAGATTCCTCTCCCTTTCCACATTTCCCAGGACCATGGAGGCGGGTGGACATGTTCCTATGGAAACCTGGGCCTCAGCATGGGCGACCAGCACCTCAGACTGTGTGACACTTGTTTTGTCACCAGCCTGTAGTCCCAGCCCCTGCAGGCCCAAGGGGTCTTTTCCAGCAGGCACTGATGGGGAAAGGGCACAGGCTGGCCATTGCTGCCCTGGTGCCAGCACTGAGGAGCAGCAGGGATGGCTGCAGTCTCTTCCCGTCCCCACTCCAGCAACTGGCTCCATTCTCTCCCACTCTGTCCCCAGGTGGAGAGTGAGGAGCAAGAGGAGGCTGGGGCCTCGTGACCTCCCATCCAGAGATGACGGTGCTCATAAAGGGGATCCTGTGCATGTGTGTTCCTCTCTTGCTCTTCCTCCTGCCTTTGCCAGCTCCAGCCTGTGAGTGCCACTTCTGCTGTGCACATACCTGCCCCAGGCTCCCACCTCCCTTCCTCAGGCCACCTAGAACCCTTCCTCTGTGTGCTGCCACCTGGCCTCATCCTTCCCCTTCCCATTGATCCTCCCCAAGGCTGCCAGTCTTCTAGGAAATGCAGATGTGACCCATCCCTCCGCTGACAGAAGCCTTTGACTCAGAGACCCCTATTTGGCTTTCCCTTCTTGCCTGACCCTCTCCTCACACTCTGATCCTGCTCAAACCATCCCAGGTCAGAATCACAGGGCATTACACCGATGGCTCCCTTAATGTCTCTCAGAAATCACTTGCACACAGGGAACTGACTCATTTCCTTCAACTCACTCCAAAGAAAAACTGACCAATAAAGGCTCAGGTGATCAACTGGATTCAAAAGACCACTGCCATGCTGGGTTCTTAGTCCCCCTCCAGGAATCAGTACACAGAAGCTGAATTCTCCTCTGTTACAGCACACTAGTCCTGCCTCTCTTCTGGTAAAGGCTCACATCCCCTCATGCCACATTCTCCTATAGTGACCTAGGGGAGAGACAACTGGGCCCTCCCAGGCTGAAGTAAGAAGACCACTCACGAGTCAAGGAGGTAATAGACATCAAAAGCACCATCACAGTACTGCAGAACATCATCAACTTGGTTCACGTTCTGCCTGGCCTGCCGGACTCTGTAGTTGTAGAAATGGGCAGAGTTTGGGTAATGGGGATGCGAAGCTCTCCAACCTGAGCTTTGGGCTCTGGAAAGCTGTGCAGGTAGCAGCAGCAGGAGCAGGAGGAAGAGCGCAGAGTAGGGCACACAGGGGCTGTGCCTCCCCATCTTGTTCTCTGTCTCTGTGACCTCCTCACTGGCGGGGCCCTTCCCAAAGCCCAGGGAGGCTGAGCACCAGCCACCTCAGGCCTCCTGCTTGGCCACCTCCTCTGTGCCCAGGGACCACGGCCCCTGGAGCTCTGTCATCAATGCCCAGTGTGCCCACACCAGTTCCCTCTCACAGCACAGGGACCGGGGACACCACTGCTCTGGGTGTCCTACCACCAGCTGTCCACTAAGCCCTCCCCCCACCCCAGGGCGGAATACCCTGGGCTTATGATGGACAGGAAGGTTGACATGGTGACTTTGTGACCTGGAGCTCTGCCCAGGGACCTGCATGTTGACAGCATCAATAAGGGATCATCGGGTCTCTGGGGGGTACAAGATGAGACCTCCCAGCTCCTCTTCCCAGCCCTCACAAGTGGTCCTCAAAGGGGCTCCTGAGGTTCCAGATGTTCTGTTAACCAAGAGAGGACAGCAGTGCTGGCTGAGATAGATCAGGAAGTCATCATGGGTAATGAGTTCCAGGGACTGGGAAGGCAGCAAGGGAGATGTGGGGAAGTCACTGTGAGCACCCTGCAGCCAGCCAGGCAGTGGTGGAGCTGGAGGAGGCCACGTGCTGTGAGTGGGGGACAGTCTCTTATCCCTGATCTCTAACCAAGCTCAGTGACCTTGACAAGGACTGTTTTATTGTGCCTTGGGTTCCGTGGTCAGACATCTCTAACCAAGCTCAGTGACCTGGACAAGGACTGTTTTATTGTGCCTTGGGCTCCGTGGTCAGACGTCAGGAGGGCAGAGTGGGAAAGCTCCCTGAAGGGGAGTTGTAGGAAGGCTGATGAGGGGTGTGATTTTGGTGGCTGGGTGTGAAATTCTCCAGAGGCTTCCTCACCCTGGCATGTAGCACCAGGGTGGGGGACCTGAACGCTGTACATGAGTCCAGCTTCTTGCTTTGACAAAACTGCATTCCTTTCTTGAAGACTGCAAAGTGTGAGAGCCCTAAAACACTGATGGGAGGGACCAGATCCCTCCACAGGAAGCAGCCCCATGCAAGTGTTCCACAGTTTCAAGTAATTGTGAAAACATAAAAAACAAAACAGTTCACCCAAAGTTGAGCCCTGGTCCTTTATAGGTTACAGACATTGAAACATCAGCATTATATTTTGAAGAGGAGGGCTTTTACTCATATCTTACTCTTGAGCATATAGCAGAAAATGCCATTGGTCAAGTATTTCTGAAAATATTTCCCTGCACAGGTCAGTTTCTCATTCCCTTTGAAGGTATTGTCTGTGCTGAGTCCCTCCTCCATATCCCCTGCTTGCCATGTCTTCAAGCCCTGGCCTGCAGCAGGTCACAGAAGGCTGAGCCCAGTCCACTCCGCTGAGAGCCAGGAGGTTGCCTCCTCCCTCGGAAAGTGGGCAGGGCAGTGACTGCTCTGACCTAGCACAGTGGAAGTGACGTGGTATGACCTCTGATCTGATGTCACAAAGAGTTGTTCAGCTTCTATCTTGTCTTTGGGGTTCTGAGCCACCATGATAAATGGCCACCACCCCTTGACACCACCATCCTGTGAGGGAGCCTGAGTGGCCTGGAGAGATCATTTGCAGGGTCTACCTGAAAAGCCCCACTGGAGCCCAACTCTGGGTTCCCCAGACTGGATGCCACACACCAGGGTGAAAAAGCCTCTGGAGAACTACATGAAACTCAGCCACTCAAGTCACATCCTGTTCCCTAGTCTTCCCAGGATGCCCATCATGGGGCCTCCCCTACTCTGCCCTCCTAAGGGACCAACCTTGGAGTCTGGGGCACAGTAACATGGTCCTTGCTTTAGGTCATTGAGGTTGGGTGGCCTATAATGGGGCAAGGATAAAGGTGTCACCGTGGACCTTGTCACAGGGCAGTCTCCGTCTCATCCAGTTCTGCCATTGCCTGGCTAGCATCAGGGTGGACACAATGCCTCCTGTGTTCATCACTGCCTCCCAGTCACTGGAACTCCCCACCCATGGTGATAACCTAATCTCACCCAGCACCGCTGTCCTCTGTCAGTTAATAGCACACTTGGGTCCTCAGGTGGCTCCTTGAGAACCAACTGTGAGGGATAGAAAGAGGGACAGAGAGGTCTCATTTTATTATCCCCTAGAGAACCTATGACCTCCACTTTATGCTGTCAATATGCAGATCCAGAGTTACAGGTCACAAAGTCACCATGTCAACCTTCTTGTCCATCATCATCCCTGAGTGTTTTGCCTAGAGGTGGGAAAAGAGCCTTTGGGACAGCTGGTGGCAGGACACACAGAGCAGTGTTGTCTCCAGTCCCTGTGCTCTGCGAGGGAACTAGCGTGTGCACACTGGGCATTGGTGACAGGGCTCCAGGGGCTGGCTGAGGTCCCTGGGCACAGGGGAGGTGGCCAAGCAGGAAGCTCTGGGGCAGTGTCCATGAGCAAAGAGGTCATAGAGACAACCAAGAAAATGGGGAGGCATGGTCCCTGTGTACCTCGCTCTGTGCTCTTCCTCCTGCTCCTGCTGCTGCTACTTCCAGCCCTGTTCAGCACAGAGAGACCCCTGGATGTTGCTGCCAGGTGGAGAAATGTCCACGGACTTGGCCTGGGTTCCCGAAGTTTCCAACCCCGGGGCTCAGTGCACAGCTGGCATAAGAGGAATGCAGACCAGCCACCATGCCCTGGCATCTCCGACATCTACTTCATTCTGGACAAGTGAGTGGCCCTCAGGTTCTGCCTCCACCTGACTCCAGAAAGAAATGGTCCCCAGTCACTGTAGGCAGGATGGGGCTTCAGGGGAACCCCATGTGTATAAGAGGACTGGCAGGGTCCTCCAGTGGTGAGCACCCCTGCACAGGCCTCAGAGAGTCCTTATCTAGTGGGGGTGTTACCACAGGGGTTCTGGGTGACTCTGTCCCTGCAGCAATGTGGCCCAGCCCTGGATCCTGCAGTGCCCTCAGTCACTGGTCCCCAGGAGCCACCTCCTAGGCCTGGGAGAAGCCCCAGAAGGGTTTTCTGGGAGAGACCATCTGTGGCTTCTGGGGGTACTTGGCCACATCCCTGCCCAGCACCCTCTCCTCTAAGCCTTGCTCTTCCTCCCACCCTGCAGACTTGGCACAGTCCCAGCATTTTCGGGGTAGCCAGGGGCTCATTTGGCCCTGAGGAAGCTATACTGTCTTTGGGGCTCCTGACGGCCATTGGGAGGCAGGCGGGTCTTGGTCTTGGGGAGGTGGTGAGGTCCTATCTCAGCTGTCCTGCTGGCTGGGACTGGGAACCCAATGAGAAGCCCATGCAGCCCTCAGCAGGGGGATGCCCTCTGTGCTCGCCAGCCCTTCGCCCTCAGCCCTCCCCGCTCTGGATGCGCAGCAGCCCAGGGGTCTCCCTGTGATGTCCTGTTGTGGAGTGAGCTCCTAGGTGGCCAAGGTGCCTGGAGGATGCTGACGGTGACAAGAACCGGGCTTCCTGGTCTGGGCTCTTTCTAGTCACAGGCATGGCTCCTCTCATCTCCTCTGTGGGCACCAAGGTTGGGAACACCGGCCCTAGCTCCAGCTCCTGAGCCAAAACAGCCAGCTGGGAGCCCCCTCCCCACTGGGAGAGGAGTCCCTCCTCACTTCTGGCCCAGGGACTCTGAGACACCCTGGACAGGTGGTGCCCTCGGATCCTTAGCACAGCAGCGGTGGTGGCTCCCTTTGGGCATCAGGTTTGGGGAGGATGGGTGCCCACTGGGCTGACAGCCTTGTTGGGTCAGTCCTGCTGGAGAGTGGCTGAGACTCCAAAGCCCCTCTTGGCTGCCACCCTGTTGCATGTCTCTGCTTGCTTTTACTCTATCCTCCTAAGGGACCTCCTTAGGGCCTCCTAAGGGCCCTGCTGTGAGGCTCCCAGGGGCTAACCTATCCCTGGGATGGATGAGGAGGGCTGTGGGCACAGGTAGGGGTGTGGAATAGCATTAATAAGACACTTGTTTTGTGCCAAGCAATGTGCCAGCTACAGAAATCACTCTCAGCCAGCTAGACATGGCTTATCTGGCAGGTGGGAGTTGAAGGGCTTGCTGGGTAGGACACAGGATAGGGGCAGGTGGGCCTGGGTGCTACTCTGAGCCCTGACCTCCTTCCTTCTCCTGTACTCACAACCTTCTGCACTTGGCAGTGGGTGCTGACTCCCATCCCTGGCAACATCAGCCTGCCCCAGGCTCTCCTTGTCTGAGAGGCCAGTGCTCTGAGCCTCCAGGACCTCCCTACTTCTGGTGAGGACCCTGATCACTCACTGGATACCTGTTTGGGGGTGACCCAGAAAGCTCTGTGTTTAGACTTTAGTAATCACAGCTGATGGAAGATAAGGCTGGGGCTCTGAGGTTTGTCTTAGTAGGCATTTCCTTGGTTTTATCCCACTGGCTTGGTGTTAGGGACGCAGAGCTGAGGGGGTGGGAAGGGAGGGAGGGAGAAAGAGGGAGAGGGGGTAGAGAGAGAGAGAGAGAGAGAGAGAGAGAGAGAGAGAGAGAGAGAGAGAGAGAGAGAGAGAGAGATCAGGGCTATAGACTGGGAAAACCTCCCTGTGGGAAAAGATCAATCTCTTCCTAGCCTCCTGGGCAACAGGCCTTTGTCTCCAGGCCCCCAGTTACAGGGACAAGTGCCAGGATCATCAGCACTGGATGAAATCAAGTGGTTTGCCTCATCTGCATCCTTTGTACCCACGATGTGAAAGGATATCAGTTTCTTCACTGTCTTTAACCCCTGCTACCAGGCTCTCAGCTCTGGATAAAAGGAACACTTCCTTGTGCTGAGCACCAGTTTCCACACTGCCACCAAATGGTTCCATCTCTGACATAGTCTTTGCCAAAGCCTGATGTTCTGCTGTCTTGCTTTGCTCTGCTTTTCAGTGTATTCCCCAGGAATACTTCCTGTTCTGGGCTTACATGTCTCCAGGCTCTGGTCTTCCTTCTCTCCTACACCATGGGCCTTGGATTGCAGGCTGACCTGAGCAGTGGGTCAAGTGCTTACACAGTAGGTGGGTCCCTGGGTTGGGGTGGAATGGGCTCGAAGAGGTTAGGTAGCATGCCTGTGATACACAGTAGAGGCCAAACTCGCTTCTTCCAACTCGGGCCTGCTGGTCCCCAGTCCCTACTATCAGGTTTTCTGTTGTTGCTGTTATTAGTAAGCTACTTTTGCAATGGCATTATATACATTATATAAAATTGACCATTTCTACCATTTTTCAGTGCTTAATTCAGTGAAATTAGATATACTCATAATGATGTGTGGCCATCACCACTCCTCATCTCCAGAACTTTCATCATTATCTTGTACTGAAGCTGTGCTCTCAGTTACCAGTACTTCCTCCCCTCCCTCCCCTATACTCTGGCAATCTGTACTCTAATTTCAATATCTAGAAACTTGTTTCCTGCTGGTAAATAGCAAATTGAGTCATGCAAATTCATGTGAGAGGAATCATAAAATATTTATGTTTTTGCATCTTACTGCAATTAGCACAATGTTCTTCTGATTCATCCCTGGTTAGTCTCTATCAGAGTTTTGTCCTTTTTGGTGGCTGGAGAAGATTCCACTGGCTGTATATACCATACGTCGTATATAACATATGTATTCATCTCCTGATGGAGTCTTGGGTTGTGCCTACCATTTGGCCATTGTGTATAGTGTTGCTACGAATCCAGGTGTATGTGTACCTGTTTGAATTGAATACATGCTCTCATACATCTTTGTTTACCTTTCTGAGGAGCCACCAAAATGCTTGCCTCACTTTACGTTTCTACCAAAAATGCACAAGGAACCAGCCTCTCTAGTTTCCCTGTGATTTTTGATAATATTCACCTGAAGGGATGTGAAGTCATTTTTCAGTGTCGCTTTGAACTCATTTTCCCTAGTGGCTATTAAGGTATTGTAATGTTTCAGGTGTTCATTGGTCATTTAGGTGTCTTCTTTGGCAAGGTGCCTATTCACATTCTTTGCCATTTTTTAAATTGTATCTGGATACTTATCCTTTATCAGATAATGGTTTAAAAATTCTTTACCATTCTGAAGTCCAGTTTTTAAATTTTTTTCTATCATTGCCTGTGCTTTGCTTGTCTTGTCCTAACATTATTAAATTTTTGTGATGGTATAAGTTCCTGGTTTGACTTCATTCTTTTTTTTTTTTAAGAGTAGGAAAATTTATTGGGGAATAGGAATGAGGAATAGGAATGGGGAATAGGAGCAGCTCATGAAAGACAGGTAAGATTCTGAATGGGTTGTAATGGGCCCACTTCCCTGAGAAGGTTTAATAGAGCAAAATCATGATGTGAGTACAACCTAGGTCAAAACTATAATCAGTCAATATGATTATAAGTATAGCTGCTTGGCCAGTATTGATCCAATAGTAGCAAGGCCATATGGATGACATTATTAACCTATAATCTATAGATTTGGTCTTGCTTTAAGTTTTAGTCTTAGTAGTCTAGTCTTAGTCTTAGTCTTAGTCTTAGTTTTAGTGAGTGGGAAAGGATGGCCCACCCCAATGAGATAATAGTTTCCTTATACAGAAAATCTCAAATGGGAGAAAATAAAAAAATGCAAATAAAGTGTTTGTAAATGGGGAGGGGAAGAGGGGGTAAAGGGAGGGCAAGGACAAGGGGAAAAATGAGAACCAAGACCTGTCATGTAAAGGTACAAGATCCCAATGATGAATGTAACTGTATTGTATACCTAGAATGTACCTATAAACTCAATTTAAAAAAAAAGAAAATCTCAAATGGGTGGTAGCAATAACATCAAACTTAATCCCTTAGGGAAATATGCAAATACGGCTATTGTGATTTTAATCTTCTTCAAATGCACCTCCAGCCAACCTCCTATGTGTTCTCATCTTCTGCATTTACTCCCTTGAGGATCTAACCCTGTCTGCCTATAATATTTCTACCTAGCTTAGCTGTCTATAATATTCTTCCCTCTGAAGAGCTATCACTAACTTTGGTTAGGGAGAAGAGGCTTAGTTTCCCTTAATCCAGAATTAGATTCAAGATAATCTAATGGGCCTTGGATAGAAGTCATGTTGCAGTTTAGCAGTTATGAACTCCTTTTACAAGGTCAGTGTAATAGATCCCAGTAAAAGGAATCTGGCACATTTGTCATTGTTTCCATATGCATGATCACCTGGTGTTTGGCAGCCTCTGGGCAAGAATGAACACATTTCCTAAGAAATTAAAGCTTGTATAATAGAAAGATGAACACTAGAATGGAAAAGCAGGTTGGGGAAAGAGTCACATCCAAACAACTAAGGGGCTGTAATAGCAATCATAACCAGTTGGCTCTTAGACCACTCTGCTGATATAGGTTATCTGTAAGTCTGCCATTTCTTGTCCTAAATCCCTCTAGTTTTAGCTGTAAGGAGATGAAGAGTTTGGTGATTTTTGAAAGGCAATTTTAGCTAAGGAATTTAAAGATTCTTGTTGAGCTTTTAGAGTTTCCAACATAAATTTTTTTTTTTAGCTTCTCTGAAACATAACATCGGTCAGCTACCAGTGTAGCTGGAAACTGCCAGAGAGGTCAGCAATTGGTACCCCTTTTTGTATCTAGCTTTTATTACTATATAGTATTGTTTTCATACTTTTTAATTATACTTTTTAATAATACTTTTCTTCTGGGTATTTAAGACCAAGTTAAGGCGAGACCTGTGTTCATCAAAATTAACTTCTTTCTGCCTATCAAGATCAGTTAAGTCTTCTT